GAATCTTGTCATTAAACTTTATGGGGAACTTCTTTTCCTATGGATAACACAGTGCATGGAAGCCAGAGTCTCTTACCTTCCTGGCTCCCCAGAGGACACTGCTTTCCTGCTATCTTTTCTTGAAGGAAGAAAGAACAATATTAAGAGAAATGAAACAATAGAGTATTTTGTTTTTTAATTAAATTATTGCTAATAACAAAATCAATAGACTACTTTTATTAAAGTAACCATGAGATAGGAACACTATGAATCTTATCTGACACTTTGTCCAACCGACCCGCCCTTTCCTTCTCCTAGCCCCCTTCCCTAGCCAAGCCTCTGGGAAGCCTGTTTTCTTGCCACCGATGATTTTATAGCAATGGAAACAGTTAGCTGTTAACTTAGTAACAGAAAAGAGCATGTTTAAAGCAACAAAAATGCATGAGCAAGGTTTAAAGCAGCATTAAGTTTCTTTTTTGTTTGATGTAAGGGTTCTGAAGCTAAATCTTTAGCACAGTATTGTGTCTCACCGTGCCTCCAACTTCCCACCACATTCAAATTTTTACTAATTGAGTAGGCAGAGCTTAGATCTGTGTTCTTCATCCAAGCAATCACATTTTTAAAGTTCCCGAATGTAAATCCTGGGTCAGTTTATAACTGGGGGGTGGGTGGGGAGTGCACTTATTCTTTATTATTGTGGTTGTTGTTGTTGTTTTGAAAGAAATTTCATTATCAGAATACAGCCCTACAAATCCTACCAAAGCTAAAGTAATGACAACTTGTGAACTGGCATGTCCTCTCCTGAAGAACAAATGTATAGATTTTATTTTTGATGGCTATATAGAACTCTATATCCTAATTTACTAATGTAAATCAGAGGCCAGCCTTTGCTCTCCATTTTGACATGAAATACAAGAACCTAAAGATATACCTCAAGAGTACATTTTAATTCCCCCCTTCCCCCTCCCCCCCAATACTATTAATCCACTCTTCCAATACATATCAAATTTTGTCTGCTTCTTGAGCTTACTCTGGGATGTGAAACCAGTTCTAACCTCCTAACAAAGCTGTAACCTAGCAATTTATAAGAGGGCAAAGTAAAGTTTGTTTCCAGGGATGTTTTGCACTGTTGGCTGAATGAAGAGGCATGCATGTCTGCAAAGGATATGCTTGTCTTTCAACAGAGAGCAAGTGAGTAAAAGGAATCCTAACCCCCCCAAAAAATTGTTTGGGACTTAGCACAGAACATAAACCGTTGCAGGACTCCAACTTGCTGAGTAATGCATGAAGTGTTATAAACATGTAAGTGGGGAACACAGCATATGTTAAAGCTAAGGCACAAGGTGGTGTTGATTAGATTGAAATACACTTGATGCTTTGTAAATCTTGATAAAATCGATAGGAGGGAATGTATTCATCTCTTAACCACAGTAATGGGGTTGTAGCAGTGTGTAGAAAAAGCCAGTTGGAATCTGAAACTGGCATGATACCACCATAGACTCTTAAACCAAAGACTTGCTTAAGCACAGCTACAGAGAAAAAGCATCCCTTTTGTAAGCTCTCTTCCTCCCCATCCCTTTCCTCCATTGCCAGTTACCTATCAGAGGCAGTTTGGTTTTCAGTACATGATACATACCCTTGTTATTTTCCAAAGGTCAAAATGGAGACATTTGCTGTCTACTTGTCAAGTAGAGAAAGGGAGCTCCTTTTAATGAATCCCTGCAAATATTGACAACAGGAAATGCAAATGGAGAGTGCTCTTTTGTAGACTGTCAGGGACCTTTTTCTCTGAAGTACATAATTATAGTTGGAATATTCCTTTTAATTTTTTAAAAAAATGCTTGTAGGTGGCTTGGGGTGTCTTATTGTGCCGATCCTATCCAGTGAACAGGTGAGATGGGTTACCATTACAAGAAATAACACTGTTTGAGAAGTAGCTTTGAATAATAATTTTTTCCCTTTGTACATGACCTGCTGAATTTCGGTACAGTGTTTTTGTAGCTAACTTATTTTGTCATGCACATAATGTATATTTGTTATGCACTACTTTTGTATATCTTGTTTTTCCAACAGTGAGCATTTTTAGGCACACTTTTCACTGACGGGATATCTCTTTATGCAATACCTCAATTTTTCATATTGCAAAGAGTAGCTTTTTGTACTTTTATTACTGAGAGATCTTCATATACTTCATTTTTTAATATAAATAATTTTAATAAATTTTATTTTCTTATATTCTGCTTTTTATACATTTCAGTGCTCTGCATACATTTTGAATTATGGATGTTGTGCACTGGCAATGCTATTTTAGAATTTGCAGAGAAAAGAAAGCATGTTGCTTAAACATCTTTAGCCCAGCACCAGGTATTTGGTGTACATATAATTTAAGAAATACTTATATGTAAAGTTGAGACTTAAAAAAAAGAAATTTTTAAAAAGCATGAAAGTGACAAATGAGAGAGTTTGTCTTTAGACTCTTGAAATTTAATGCATAAACATAGAGTAGAAGTTTAACAGTAACATCCCAAATTGTCTACTGCTTCTTAATAGATTTTTAAAAATAATACACAAATGCAGATGTTTTTTGGTGAATGTTTAGCCATTTTTAATCTTAACAAATTGATGTTAGGTGTTTGCAGAGATGTGTCTGCGCTTTTAAATCATATTTAAGGAAATAAACTCAAGCCTGCCCAATGGTGGGCATGTAATGTTAGTATGCATGACTAATATTAAAAAATGTTATTCTACTAATATTCACTTGTGGTGATTGTGTGAAAAGCGTGTTTACAGATTATTTGGTTACACTTCAATTTACAGGGCATAAATGATTATCTCTATTACTCTGTACTCGAAATAGTGCTAATATAATATGTCCTTCAGATTACATGGAAAGTGGAGTTGCCATGTCACTCCAAGCATAACTAACATGTAATTAGTTTAAAAATCCTAGGGTATCACTTTATTTTAAAGGGGTGTAAACAAGCATGTCATTTTCTTTCAGAAGCATGGCACTGGCCATGTACTTACAATGTAGTTACAGAGTAATTACATGGTTATTTTTGCAATGTAAAATAAAGTGTTTCTGATTTATTTTATATGTAAAAGAACCCCACTGCCCCGTGCTTTTTTGGTATATAGTATCTACTTCTCCATACACAGACCTCTGCAGAACGCAAATCTAAAACTTGCAGTGAATGACTTTAGTGTTTTATAAGGATGCTGTTGGAAAGACTTGATAATTCACCCCTTTTTGTTTCTTGAAGAGTTAAAGCCTTCTGTTTTAAAAGGTGATTTAAAACTTGAATGTGATGAATTGTGGCAAGTTAACTTCAAGTTATGTGCAATACTTATTTCAGACTTCTGGAAGATCTTTGCAGTGTAATTCTTTGTTTTTAATTGCAGACATTTAAAAATGTCATTTTCTACTGTTCTAGTAAATCCTCTTTCTTGCTGGTGTTTCTAAAGAAAAGAATCAGAAATCAATCTTTCTACTAATGTAAATTTGAGATTATTTTTTAAAAAAAGGAATAAAAGAGGTTTTGGTCATTTGCTTTATTTTATTATCTTATTTTAAAGCTACTGTGATTGATAGCATTGTAAGAATTGGGACAATATTGTATTCAACTGTTTTATTTTTTATATTTTTAAAATTTAAAGTATAATTAGTTTTTATAATTTTCATCAGATTCTTTTGTTATATTTTTTGGAAGTGAAACTTTTAGCAAGTGGGTGTCTAGTTTTTACTAATCCCTAATATGTTTTCCCCAATGTAATGCTCATATTATCAGAAGGAAAAGTTATTTAAGTATGTCAGTTACTTGTACTACTTGGCTGAATTTCCATATAGTTTTTACTGTGTATGGGGAGGTTGTAGTATTTATTATAGCATTTTAAATAAGGGTAATTCATTTTTTATTAAAGTCATTTTCACAATTTAAGTTCATATTTTTGTATGTTCTACTCTAAGTTATAACACAAGTTTCTTTTTTTAAGAGAGTTCATTTGTTGAAGTGCTAGTGGAAAATTAATGTTATTAAATAGTTTGCAAATGACTATTTATAGCAGTATGCATATAATTTTTAAATATTTGTAATGTGAGATGTTGAATGAATAAAACTTTTAACTCAACAGTTGCTTGGTCTATTATTTTGAACTCTTCAAGGCCAAAATATAACTGGTGCTCCTCTGGATGGAATAATCTGCCCTCATTAGGTATTCCATTTATGCCCTCCATTGCTTCTAGATTGTACAAACCAAAACTGTTACTGGGGGGTATGGGAGGCATTTTTTAAGGCTCATTAGCTTAAGGGACAAAATAAGTGCTAAAATCTTGCAAAGGTTAAAGAGACCATTAAAAAGTGAAAATACCCTGGAGGATTTTTCCCACCTGAAGAGAAAAACTGCACCTATTTTTCCTCTCCCTATCACCATACCCTCTCTGGTGATATTACATCACTGTCCATGATCCCAGGTTCATAATTTATGAATGATTGGTAGGTTGGAGTAGAAATAATTAAAGTACATAAGCATTGCAGTCTCAGATTTTAATCCCTGTCCATCCCTTAAGTGCAATACTTGATTATAATAATTGCTCGGTATGATTCACATATTTAATACTGCTGTTACTGATAAAACCTGTACAGCAGTATATATAATATGTTATGGAAATTACTTCACTTCTGTGAGCTGACAGTTAAGCTGGTAGACTGGGAGCAGGTGGAATATATTATGGTTAACCTCAGCTACAGCAGATGCATGGACAACTTTGGTCTTATCACTTTCACCTACCATACAGGTTTGTTGGCATAGGGAAAAATAGGAAACTGGCATCTTAGCTTCTGATTAGCACTAAGTAACAACTATTATTATAAGAGTTTCTGTAGCTTGCCCAATTCCAAAACTCTGGCTGGGTTACAAGAGTCAGAGTGAAGATGATCAACTGACCAGTCCAGGGAAAACTCCATAAAAGAGAGTTTTCTCTGGACTGAAGGTTTTTCAATTTATTAGCAAGGGAGCTTAGTTTATATGACACTCCGGGGTTAGGGAAAGTCCTAGAATCATCCACAAGATCCTCCATGCAGCAGCAGTCTGCAGGACAATTCGGGGAGCTGTGCTCCAGAGCAGCCCATGAGCCATTCAGCTGGGGTGGGGTGGGGTAGGAGGAATGCAATCACTTCTTTGTTGAAAAAGTCGTTTCAGTGTGAGGTTGCTGTTCAATATTACCGCTATGCTGCAGTGGTCATGATCCTCAATAACATTATTTATTAAATTTATATGCCACTCATCTCACTGTTTGGGGTGACTCTAGGTGTTCCCTAACATCTTCCCACAACTCATTTGGGAAGCTTGCAGGAAAAAGTCGATGCGGATCACTTAGGTGATGGTGGGATCACAGTAGCAGATTTCAACTTGCAACTTCCTTCCTGGGAAGCTTGCAGGGAAGGTTGCCAATTCTTCGGGTAAGTCTCCAGTCCCCACACAATCACACCCAGTCCCTCTGCACTTGCAAATATCTGAAAGAGTGATCCAAAAATTCACAGGTTGCCTGGTTATAAAATAATATAGAAATACATCAACATTATTAAAAAATATACTACTAATAAATCAATCCTCTCTTAAGATGGATGCCAATAACATTTAGCTAGATTTGAAGGATCAGTGTATTAAAACTATCTTTAAAGATCCTGTAAAAATAATAAGGGAAAGAGTTTTATGGACCTTTTGGGTGGGTGTAAACTTGTCTGTGTATGTGTGTTTTAAACTGGAATCGACAAACAACAAGAATAAGAGTTTTACTTATTAAAAAACTAGAATGGGAAGAATGAATAATGAAACCAAACTTGAAAGATGTTCGCTTTGGTCAATGTGTTTAAAGGTTATGATTTCTTTAGGAGTTCCGGTTAAAGACCAACATATTAAACTCCAGTTTTTCAGTGTCATGTGTTCATTTCATTGTTGTATTCTGTAATATTTAGCCATTTGCCTCTGGTTGTTTGACTGGCTTGTAACCTGTATGGAACAGACATCAATTTATACTAGTCCTAGCAACTTCAGTCGTGTTGGAACCCTTGTAACATCAGTTGATATCACAGGCCCAACAATAGGAGAAAGTCCTAAAGTAGACATCAGTGCACTGAGGATAAGCCTTCAGCTGTCTGCTCACATGTCAACTGGGGTGGGGGGAGAGCCAAATGCTATTTATATTTTGTTAATGTGGTACTCAGATATACATTGATGTCTCTGGCTGGAATCTCGTGACTTTGGCATGAATATTCAGCAAGCTCAGCATCCTGGCATTTATTTTTAAACTTACAGCCCTGAGTATGTCAACTAGGTCAACAACAAGGAGCCAAGTGTTCAGTCACCTGCTTCCACTTAATGTTCTGCTGCTACTTAATCGCTGGGGTCAAAAGAAGCCCAGAATGAGATGCTCAAATAATGGTAAGTTGGGAAAGGAATAAGACTTGAGATGGCCGTGCGCATCTGGGGGGAAAAAGAATGCAAAGCATTGGGAAAGTGAGCTGTCTGGCAGAGTGGAGTAAAGGCTTTGCCAGGCCTGCCAGGCCCACACCAGGATTCTTATGGATAACTCCATTGCTGTAGCACTCTGGGAAAACACTGGGGGAAAGTGAAAAGCTTTTATGGAATGCTCACAGCTGAGGCCTTGAGCTTCTCATTGGGATCTATTTCAGCACTGGTCTGTTAGTAGTTAGAATATTCCACCCAAGAATATTTTGGATTTTACCTTCAGATACATAGTTGAAATAATACAAACAGATTGGCACAGAAATTTCCTCTCCTAATTTTTTCATGTCTCTATTTTCCCAAATGACAACTTTGAAGTATGACAAAAACATTTGCTTCACATATGCGCTTTCCATGTCTATGAGTTCCACATAAAACTTCAAAAGTAACATGGCCTTTATTCTGTAAATGAAGGGGTCAAATTTTATATTATACCAACCTATTATTCTTTAAGATATAGAGCCCACTCTTTCCGTTCTGCAAATATAATTAAGATGAAGGGCGGTCCTGGGACACACTTAACATTTTGCTTCCCTCTCAAAAACTTGTAATACAAATCATTTTCAGCTTCTTACAGAATGACTCATGGCAACTGATTGACAGTTTTTTTTAAGTGAGATTGCCATCTCATGATATTCAGTCTACTCAAGACCTCACATTTTAGTCAGAAAGTAATTCTTGCCACCTGGATATCAGACATATGTTTAATGTGGGAAAAAGAATGAGACACTGACATTTCTCCCTGTTTTCTTCCCAGTCTTGTAATTTTTGCTACACCACACTGAATGCTATATGGCAGATAAGAAAACAGACTCCTCAGGAAGAGCTGCTTTTCCAGTTTAAGGTGGCCTTAAAGCAGCGGGCTCCAATATTTTGAGTGCCAGGGACCGGTTCCATGGAGAGAGGCTTTTCTGTGGACTGGAGGGAGTGTGGTTTTATGTGTTGCCTGCATCCCGCACACGCATGGATGGGGGCTTTGCTCATTAGCATGGCTGAGTTTCTGGTGCGCTATGGACCATTACTGGTCCACAATCTGGGGATTGGAGACCCCTGGGTTAAAGTATTAGATGAGATCTTCCTGTACACCCTAAGGCCTTTGGAGATACAACGGGTCATATAAACAAGGAGTCTTGGAGACAAAAAGACCAAAAATACCCCTGTGTAGAAAGTCAGGTTATCTTCTAATGTTTAAAGTTTACCTTTTACATCAGGCCTTTAGTGGTGGGGTGTTTTGTTTTTTTTTGGCTACTTTAATTATTCTTGGGTTTTTAGCTGATATTTTATTCATTATCACATTGGATTTTAGCTATGTTTTGATTAAGCACATAGGTGTTTTCAAATAATATCTTCTGTAAGTTGCCCAGAGCCAATGTGAATTAATTGAGTAGTTGTATAAATTTTCTTAATAAAATGTAAATATTACAACTTATTATTATGCAATTGAATAATAACAGGCCTGAACTGAAAGTAGTTGCAGCTTTTTCTGTACACCCCTGCATTTCTTTTCTAAGATGATTTTAAATAAAAAGCATGAGGTAGAAAGATTACAGGTGTTCTGGTAATCCTTTGACTTTCTCGACAAATTTATAATGAGTGATTTTTAGAAAGCCAATCTAGAAATGCTGTCTAAAGTATGCAACACATAATTTGTATACACCATTTATTTGATATGAAAGCTTTGATATTTTTCCTGTTAATGTCTCTATAAAAGAGGCTTGGTTAGTTTGGAAAGCACAGTTAGTGTATTCCAATAATAAAACATATGGGGGAAAATGATCATGGCCAAAGTTCACCCTGACCTTGAAAATACTAGTAGTTTAAAAGTATTGTTGATTTGTGGGGCTGTTTACATCAGGTGTTAGTTAGCATTCATCTTTTAAGACTTAATAGAGACCTCAAAGTGGTTGTTCAATTTCCTTAAAAGATTCAGGTGGCTGGAAGCTGATGTGGCAACACAGAGGTGTTTTCATCTGATCTTCTTGGCTTGCTGTGAGAAATGTGCCAGTCTAGCTGAATACAAGTAGTCCTCAACTTACATCAGTTCATTTAGTGACCGTTCAAAGTTACAACGGTACTGAAAAATGTGACTTATGACCATTTTTCACAGTTATGACCTTTGCAGCATGCCATGATCATGTGATCAAAATTTACTTGCTTGGCAACTGGTTCATATTCATGACCATTGCTACGTCCCAAGGTCATGTGATTAGATAACAGCTAATCAGAGTTGGAAGGGAACTTGTAGGTCATCTAGTCCAACCCCCCGCCTAAGCGGGAGACCCTACACCATTTCTGACAAATGGCAGTCCAATCTCTTCTTGAAATTCTCAAGTGATGGTGCTCCCACAACTTCCGAGGGCAAGCTGTTCCATTGGTTGATTGTTCTCGCTGTCAGAAAGTTTCTCCTTATTTCCAGGTTGAATCTCTCCTTGTTCAGCTTCTATCCATGGTTCATCTTTTATGATCTTCTGACAAGGAAAGTCAATGGCGATGCCAGATTCCCTTAACAATTGGCTTATTAGCTTATCAACTGCAGTGATTCACTTAATAATTATGGCAAGAAAGGTCATAAAATGGGGCAAAATTCACTTAAAACTATCTCGCTTGACAACTTAAATTTTGGGCTCAATTGTGGTTGTAAGTTGAGGACTACCTGTAATATATGTGAACAAAATGCTATCATTTTGTAGTGCTTTAACAAATCCCCTCCTCCTTGAACTGACATGCTCAAATAGGTATATATCTACATGTGGGGTTTATTTTTTAAAAAAATCAGTTCAGAATAATTAAAACATTCATTTTTTCACATTTTTTAGAATTTTAAATGAAAAGATTAAAAGTCAATACAAACTACGAAATATACAAATAGAAAAATAAAAAAGGGAAGTGAAGGGAGTAGTGGAAAGAGAGAGAGAGAGAGAAAGTAAAGGAAAACTAGAAAAAAAACAGAAGTAATTTTCCCCTTCAATCCCAGAAGGTTAAAAATAAGTTTAGTTTATTACTATCTCTAAATAAAACATAATCTCTTTTTTCCCCATAGCTGCTGTTTAAGGTAAAGAAAACAAAGTCCAAATTCTATGTCAACCTATTTTTGTTAGCAAAAGCCCAGGCAACTAAATATAATTATTTTCTTCTTTTACCCCTGGTTGAAGAAGCCAATGAAATTAACTTTATCTGAGTTTTTCAAATCATTATTTTAACCCCTTCAAAAAAAACACCACCACCTATCTCAGAGATTGCTTGTTAATTATCTGGATTCCAAAGCAAAAATCCATCAGAATTTAAATGGATTTCTTTTGGTATCAATAAAAAAAAATCTTTTTATTTATCACTTCTAAAAAAGTTCTTCCAAATCTTAACAGAGTTCTTCTGTATATACAGAAGAAGAAAAATATCCAAATCAGTTTCCTGTTTGAATATTTGTTCATCTCCTTTAGGGAATAAGTCATCCATCAAATTACTTTGTATTACATTTAAATCTTTCTTTGAATTAATTTCATAGACACCCATTGCAGCTCGTTCTTGTTTTATAACTTTATTAAATATATTCTGTCAATTTGATCAAACATTTAATCCATTCTCTCTCTAAAAAAAAAAAAAAAGACTGAGAGGTATTCAAAAGTTTGCACTAAGGCTTTCTACTCCATTGTCTTTATCCTCTGGTTCAAATGTTGAATTTTCAAGATCTCAGTTTGAAGCAATCTCTATTTTTCCATGAGAAAATGTAATAATTCAAAACTGTAATTCCACTCTGAGCCACTTAAAACGTCATGCATCCTGCATGTTTACTCATGAGGAGCAGTTGTGACACAATGATTCAAGTGCAGGACAGGAGCTCATTTTAAGATTTGGAATATTTGTTCCTGTTCAAAAATACCTGGCATATACCTGTGGTGGGGGATCAGTACACTTCTCTTCCCTCTGGGAAGGTGGGAAAGTTCAAGTCTGTACTATTAAGTCCTGACCCAGATTTAATTTTAAACTTAAAATTCTCCAAAACTTTATTAAGAGCCTGCAGTCTTTGTCAGAAATGCAAGGACTCATCAACTAATGTTCTCAGGTGAATGCACTACAAGCAAACTTATATAGTCAAGTTCACAGTAGGAATTTCAGATGATGAGATATTTTGATGACTTATACATCTCTCAGCAAGTGGAACATTCCAAAGGTTCCTTTGCATGTCATAATAGTGCCATTTCTGTAGTATTATTTTGTTATAGGGTTGGTTCCATTATCTGTAGCAGCTGTTTCACAGTGTAGTGTGCAGTCCCATCGCACCTGGGCTACGTAAGCATAGCACTCTATTCAGTGCTGTTTCAGTTACCTTTCCATCTTAAGAATAAAGGCTCTCTGGTTAGGGTTATCCCTTTTTATTAGGACTACATTCCTCATGAATCCCCCAAATCCCTCTGGGTTCATCCATCTCTTAAAATCTGTCTCAATCTACAAAAGAGCCCTATGTAACCACAGTGACCATACATCCTTTACTCTAAGGGCAGTCCTTAATTTCAGAAAGCTGTCCTTTCAGATTTATTTTTCACAATACACTTTTGTCTTATATTTTGGTCATTTAAAATTTACTGTACAAATGATAGCACTTAATTCACAGTCTTTCATATTCGTGTGGATAGTAGGGGAATTGAATTTATATATGTGATTAAAATATTTATTTTTATAAAGTTTATCTTGGTTTTGTTCTTAAATTTTCATTTGTAAAGCAAAGTTAAACATTTTTATATCCTTATGAACCTCCTTGAGATTTGTTCCTTTTTTAGGTTCCTCTATTTTTTCCCCAAAATTATAGTCATCATATCTATAACTCAACTTATCAGAGACAAGACATGATATAAATCCTGTAGTAAGCAAATAATGCAAATGTGAATCAGCTA